TTGTTGATTCTCTGTTTGGCTTAGTTTTTCGGATCTTTGTTGTGGAGGGACGGCGTGGTGTTTCTGCCTAGAGCGCCATCTTGCCGGAAGTCCCTTGTTATATATATTTTACCACAGCTAAAATATTTTAAAAAATTTTACCAAATAGTGAGCAATAGAGGTACTGCTGCCCTAACCATATGTCTCACTGATTGGCTATGTCAAAGTAACACCTATAGAATATATACGTAACTGAGGAATTATCTAAACCTGGGATCTAGGATTTAACAGACTGTAAAATGGTGGTAGTGGTAGGATCAGGGTCAGAACTTAACTTCAGGGTGGATAATTTGAATTAGGATCGGCCCAAGGCTGATCTCTATGAGGTGGAAGCCAGACATACTTCCACTCTCCAAACTTTTTACGAATTCTGACACCCACCATCCCTCCCACAAGTCTCTTGACTTGTCTTCTGGTTTGATAATCTGTTGCAATGGTCACACAGAACTCAGAGACCATACTTACAGTTAAGCAGTTTATTAAGGAAGCAACAGGGTACAACTCAGGATCAGGATCAATAGGCTACAACTTAGGATCAGGATCAGGAAGCATGCAGGCAAAGTTTGGAAGGCTACCTCAAAGTGGAGAGCACATCCCTTGCCTTCTTCAGTGCAGGACAGCTCTTTCAGCTCCTCTTGGCCGTGCAAGCAAGCAGGACTTTCTCTGTCAAGCATGCCTCTTCCTGGCCCCCTGAGGACAGGCTCCTCTTGCTCCCCTCAACACAGGCCTCCTCTCAGCTCCCTGAGGACAAGCTCCTCTCAGCCCTGAGGGCAGGCTCCTCTTGATCCTGTTCCTCTTGATCTTGATCCTCTTGACCCATTTGTCACCACTGACTCTGCTGCTGGGCCCTTTCTGGGCCTGTTGTCACCTTTAGTATTATAGTCCTTGACTTGTGTTACAGCTCTTTTGGGAGGTTTCTTGCCTCCTATCTCTCTCCACTTTTTCCTCTCTTTTCTCTTCTTTCTTCCTTCTGCTTCTTCCTTGCTTCTTTCCATCTGCAAAACCTCTGTGGGGTTGGCTGCTTATATTTACAAAATCCTTGTCAGTTTCAAGGTAAGGCCCTCCCACCAGGACCACAAAGTGACCAATCCACTCTGGTAGGCCACAGACACTTCATTTGCACAGTAGGCTACAAACATTTCTTTCACAGAGTCTATAATCAATTCATTTGCACAGTCTATTGACCAACCTCTGCAAGGGGCATATCAATCACAGGGCATGCTACAGCCCAGGAACAGACAAAAAGTATCAAACCAAATTGTTTACAGCTTACCCAGGAAATGTCAATCAACCCGGCAAAAGTAACAGATCCTCTGGGTCTTTGCTCTAAAGCTAGGGCAAAGGTAACTCCTCAGGGTTTAGGGGAAAAATCTCTCAAGCTGTTTTTCCAAAGAACCAAGGCCAAAGGCCACGTAAAGGAACTCACTTCACCACACAGACACAAACAGTAGAGGTTCTCTTCATGCAGTGAGAAGGTAGAAAGCTATGCAGCACTGAAACTGGCCTTTAAGTGTTTTAACAGTATTAGAGTGTCTTCTTTGGAATAAACAGTCTCCTCAGTAACTGCTGTAAAATTGGCTGCTGTAGGGGAAGATTCCTTGCCTTCTCCCCCAGGTGAAAGAAAAGACTCTGGTGGAGACAGGAGGCTGCCAAATGGCACTAGGGCTTGGAAGGGAGGGGTGTGGAAAGATGAAATCTTATTCTTAGATCTTGCCCTTTGATGGGATGGAACATGCTCTTGCCCTGATCATATGAATTATCCAAGGCTGGCCTAGTGAAAGGATGGGCCAGTTATTTTTTGCAAGATAACTTGGCACACTGGTTTTGGAGGGGAAAGATTACTATATGTTTCTCACACAGCTACTGACTGATTTTAGGAATAAAGGTTAAGGACCTGTGAGGATAAGAGGAAAGTATTCCTTGCACTGAAGTGATCCTTCTGATAGCAGTAGAAGTTCAGGTTTCTGTCTTAGTTATCTAGTGCTGCTATAACAGAAATACCAAAAGTAGATGGCTTTAACAAGCAGAAATTTATTCTCTCACAGTCTAGTAGGCCAGAAGTCCAAATTTAGGGCATCAGCTCCAGGGGAAGGCTTTCTTTCTCTCTGTTGGCTCTGGAGGAAGGTCCTTGTCATCAATCTTCCCCTTGTCTAGGAGCTTCTCAGGCACAGGGACCCTGGGTCCAAAGGACGTGCTCTGCTCCCACCACTGCTATCTCGGTGGTATGAGGTCCCCATGTCTCTCTGCTTGCTTCTCTCTTTTATATCTCAAAACAGATTGGTTCAAGACACAATCCAATCTTGTAGATTGAGTCTTGCCTCATTAACATAACTGCCACTAATCCTATCTCATCAACATCATAGAGACAGGATTTACAACACATAGGAAGATCACATCAGATGACAGAATGGTGGACATTCACACAATACTGGGAATTATGATCTAGCCAAATTGATACACATATTTTCCATGCCCTTCCAACTGATACACATATTTTCGATCCCCTTCCAATAAAGGACATGATTCAATCTATGACATAAATAAAACTTTGTTTTCATAGAATAATGGAGTTCCAAGGGGTTGTGACAGATCAACAAAGCCCTTTTCCTGTCTCCAGTTACTTTCTCTAAGAAAATAAAGGAAAGACAAGCTAGTTCACAGCACTTCTACTCTTTTGTCCCATTCCTTCTCATCATCAAGAAATCACTCACCTTCCAGGAGAGGAAAAATCAAGCTCCTTTGAAGAGGTGTGAGCAAGTTGTTCTGGGGTCTGTCTTGCAATGTAGCTGGGGAATGCAGCATACATATCAGAGGCAGGGATGGAAAAGGGATTGTATTTTGGAATCTGTAGAAGCAATGAGAAAAACAGTACACCTGTCACCACAAATTCTTTTGGAAAAGCAGGGTACAAATACATTTGTAAAATTTATTGTATGTGTATAAATATAATTTACTATTTTCTATGTGTTGTTATTCCCATTTTACAGACTATGCTAACAGATTGCTTTTTAGTTGCTTTTTCTGTGTTTATGGTCTTTTTCCTCCAGTTAGTCTGTGAACTCCTGGCTGGGTCATTATCTTACATTTTACATATGAGGATAATCTAGCTGTGACATTTCTTGTCCAACTGACTACCAGAGTTGAGCTGAAGAAAAGATCTTCCCATAGAGGGATGATTTAACTCTTTTATCATTTTCTCATGCATGCATTCATTCAATATTTACTGATGTCCACTCTGTGCCAGATTTGGAACCAGGCATGTGTGACAGAGATATGAATAAAAAACAATCGCTGCCTTGATAGAGCTCCCCTATCTGGGACAGTGTGTAGTAGGAAAATTCTCCTTTCTTCTATAGTTAAACTGTTCCAAAGAGCTGTCTATACTTAACATCTTACATTCCTCTTTTCCTTTCTCTCTTTTTATTTATTTTTAAAGATAGACCAATGGATTTTAATATAAGAGAGTCTTAAAAAGCTCAACAGATATGGTCCCAGATTTTATACTGCAACTAATCTTGTTCTTTTTGAATTGAGATATGTCACATATCATAAAATTCATCCTTTCAAAGTGTACAGTTTAGTGGTGTTTAGTATATTCAGAGTTGTGTAGCCATTACCACTATCTAATTGCAGAATATTTTCATCACTTTGAAAGAGAAACCACGTACCCATTAGCAGTTACTCCCAATTTCTCCCTCCCCCCAGCTCCTGGCAACACCAATCTACTTTCATCTCTACGGATTTCCCTACTCTGGACATTTCACATAAACAGAATCATACAATATGTTGTGTTTGGTGTCCAGCTTCTTTGATTTAGCATACTGTTTTTGAGGTTCATCCATGCTGTAGCATGTATCAGTACTTCATTCCTTTTTATGACTGAATAACAGTCCATTGTATGGATATACCACATTTTGTTTATCTATTCATCAGTTGATGGACATTTGAGGTGTTTCTACCATTTTTGTATTATGGAGAATGCTTCTATAAATATTTGTGTACAAGTTTTTGTGTGGATGTATGTTTTCATTTCGCTTGGGTATGTACCTAGGAGTGGAATTGCTGGGTCATATGGTAACTCTATGTTTATGAGGAACTGCCAAGATGTTTAGCAAAGTGGCTGCACCATTTTACTTTTCCATCAACAATGTATGAGGGTTTCCATTTCTCAACATCGTTGTCAACACTTGTTATTGTCTGTCTTTTTGATTATAAGTATTTTAGTGGTTATGATTACCATTCTCTCTTCAACTCACTGAAGACTTTTGTCTCCTCTGCTCCAATCAAACAGCTTGTCAAGGTCACTGAGGAAAACCATGTTATTAAATCCAAAAGTTGATTCTCAGTCCCCATCTGTACCATCAGCAGGATGACACAATTGGATCACTCTCTCCTACTTGAAATACTTTAACTTAGTTTCCGGGCCACTATGTTTTTCTTCTACCTTATTAACTGTTCATTCTCAGTCTCATTGGCTGGTTCCTTATCATCACCCTAACCTCCTTCACCTGGAGTACCTCAGTGATTAGTCCTCTTTTTTGTTCTGTTTATAATCAAGTACTTGGTGATTTCGTCTAGTCTTATGGCATGAAGTACCAACAATTTGTTAAGAATTTATCATTTAGATCTCCAGCTTACATCATTCTTTGATTTCTGGCCTGCCCACTTGATATCTTCACTTGGATGTTTAATAGGCAGCTCAAACTTAAGATGTCCATGCTCCAGATGGACTGCTCTGCACAAAATCCTCTCTAGTTCAGTTAATGGCCACACTGTCCTTTAGTCAGGCTAAAAATCTTCCGTAACTCTTCCCTTTTTCTCATACTCCACACTGAATTACATTGGCTTTACCTTTAAAATATATCCAGAATTTACCACTTTTCACCACTTCCACTGCTACCACCCTAGTCTAAATCTCTACCTCCTGCTTCTGACCTTTAGTCCATTTCAACAGAGCTAACAGAGTGATCCTGTTACTATTTAGGTCAATTCATGTCAGTACTCTGCTTAAAATCATTCAATGGCTTCTTATATTATTTAGAGTAAAAGTGAAGAGCCCTTTCAAAGGCCAACCAGGACCCACATGATGTGGCTCCCGTTGCCTCTCAATCTCATCTACTTCTACTCTCATACTTGTCTCCACTGCTCCAAACACAAGGGCCTTCTTCTTGCTGTTCCTCAAAAACAGTAGCCATCCAGGGAGGCTGGGCCAAGATGGCAGAGTAGTCAGATGCTTCCTGTGGTCCCTCTTAAAACAAAGACCTAAAAAAACAAGTGAATCGACTATACCTGACAATCTACAAGCCCTGAACATCAAAGGCAAAGTTGAGGAATCCGAGTGAGTGGCAGGGGGAGGGAGAGATGGTTCAGAAGCATCAAGAAGGTGCCAGACTTGACCCAGCAGGAACCAGTACCCTGCAGGCCGGATAGGCTGGTGCGCGTAGTGAGGCAAGTAGTGGCACTTGGGACGTGTTTTCCACATCAGGAGAGACCAAGTGGCTGAGAGTTTATTTAAGCCTCCAGAATCAGTGAAAAGCAACACTCAATCAGCAAAAGATAAGTAAATGCATTTAATCTACTGAGTGGATCAAAAAACACCCACTTTTGGAAAAACTTCTCTCCCACTAACCTGCCCCCTCCCTGATCTGGACCAGGTCCCAGCCAGCTTCAGTGATTGCCGTGTCCCCTGGGCCAGAAATAGGACCCGTAACGCGCCCTGAGCCATTCTCCTGGCCTCGGAGAGGGAACAAATTAACAAATGGGAAAAAATAATCTGCCGGTTCCCCTAAGGAAAGGCACAGCTCCGTTGCCTAGGCACAGGCATAAGGGGGTCCATGAATTCGAATGCCTTTCACACCTGCATAGACCTATGTGGGGCCATTTCAACAGTGTAGGCCCTCATTACCACAGCACAACACGGTATGTACCTGAAACCTAACTTCAACTGTATCAGCTACATGGTAAAGTGGTAGGTCTGTGACACTTGACATCGCTCTGCCCATTAAGCAGGCTCATCACATACCCACATCAGGGGCCTGAGGATGGTGGCTTCACCCATGCAACCCAGTCACCCGTGACAGGGGTCCAAGAATAAGTGGTGCCTCCCAGTCCTTACAGCCAACAGCACTGGATGCCCACAGTCCGGCTGCAAAACCCACCCACCTACGTACTCTAGGGAACAGGGACGTGCTTTCCTCCCAGACACTCAAGGGCAGCCATTAACCCCCTGCCTTGCTCAGAGCGTGACCCCCTACTGCAGCTAGATATCTATGCCTACTTCAATCACCCTTGCCCATCTAGGAATATAGGTGAGAGCCTGCACCACACACTTGGTGACCAAGTACTTGGACACCTGAGTTTAATCCATACAAGAAAAGTAAATGGACTACTGGGCTCACATACCTAGTAACAGACCTAATTACCTGGTAACAGGATGTTAGAACTTCAAAGGCGCCAATAATCAAACTAGCTCACATGAGCAGCCTATTTGGGCCTATCAAAACAAAACAAAACAAGAAGCTAGGACACAGTAAGCAAACGAAATAAATATAATAACTTATTCATGGCTCGGAGACAAGAGTCAATATCAAATCACATAGACAGGCAGACCACGATGGCTTCAGCAAGCTCTCCAAACAAAATTTCTTCGAATTACCAGAGGCAGAATACAAAAGAGAACTCTTCAACAGATCAGGAAGGAGATCACGCAAAACGTAGAACAAACCAAGGAACACACAAACAAAGAGAGGAACTTAAGAAGATTAGAGAACAGCATAATGACAAATTTAACAGGCTGCAAGAATCCATAGAAAGACAGGAGACAGAAATCCAGAAGATTAACAATGCAAGTACAGAATTAGACAACTCAACAGAAAGTCATAGGAGCAGAATTGAGGCAATGAAGTCACAATTAGTGAGACTGAAGATACAGCACTTGACACCAACTCATCTGAGGAAAAATCAGATAAAAGACTTTAAAAAAAATGAAAAAACCCTAAGAATTATGTGGGACTCTATCAAGAGGAAAAACCTATGAGTGATTGGAGTACCAGAACGAGGA